AGCTGGAGGTGAGAAACACCCAGTCATTGTGTCACAATAATACCCAACATAAGTCGTAAAACTAGAAAAAACGAAATCGCTAATATTAGGCCTTATAAGTGCTGAAGCTTTAGAATACAAGTCAGTTACGCACATGTTTGCATTGTTGCTACCTTGTAATTTGATGAACTTCTAATCGGTTCCGAAAGTTATTTCGAGATATTGAATAAGACTTTGCCTTACTATGCATAGCACATGAGGTAGTGGTTAGTGGGGAGGTAACACAGACGTCACGTCATTCCTTGGTACTGTCAACAACGTATCCAGCAGCACGCTGTGCACGCATGTAAATAAAGAAATAAAATTTTTATCCGCAACTATTGGATGCATTGCGCTTACTCGGGCGCTGACCATCTTCGGCTTCATTATTTGTTCATACAGTTCCACACCTGTGTTTACTTTCACAGCGGAGAAACCGATAACCCACATTTCACTTGCCCAGGTATATGGCTAGACCTTAGCGAGTGTGCTACGGTAGATGCGCAAGACCGGTTTACTCACAATAACGGGCGCGAGCGGACGGACTGAATTACGATTTGAAAAGTATCCCAGAGCCGCTCTTCCATTTCGTATTTTACTAAATGGGTCCGACTTTGTCCGAACGCGATGCACAACAAACAACCGTGTCCGTTTGCTTTGACTTACAATGCTACTCGTTTCGCCATGTGCTGTTCTGGCTGCGCGGTCCTACTTACTACTTTCAGCCAGTATTAGCAAAGCACTTCGCTTCCGAGAGATCGATTCGATTTTTTGCTTGATCAGCATATTTTTATTTATGCAGAGCTGAACCCGACAGGTCATGAAGTGTTATCGACGCGGAGTAGCCCACTTAAATGCTTTATCCGAACTCTGTGAGCTAAGGCGGTCGCTGCATTGCAAGCAAACCCCAACTGGATAGAGGCTCTGCAACAGATCTAGGACACAAAAATGTCGCGGTTTCCATGCACAGTCGTTGCGTACAATAGTGTGGCGTTTGATAATGGGTAATTCGGACAGTTTTGGTGGGAAATTAAAATCGATCACATTCTCTGGGCACAACGGTATATATCGTCTTAACTGCCAATCAGGATCACGACTAATCAGGTTCAGGTGCCTCACAAAGTTGGTTGAATTATTTCTTGCTGTTACAACGCACTAAGCCACACTGCGTCACGACAACTCAACATGCCAGCCTTCGGTGTGCGATGACTGCGCACCATTTTGAATGTGACAAAACACGACTGGGGGGAACGGTGGTAAAAGACCAGTCCTCAATTATGCGGCATTGCGATGATGAAGTCAGTGCGGAGATAGGGTGCATATGGAAATGAGGAATAGATATGTGAATAAAGCCGTAAGAAGACGAACACTGGCAGATGTCAATATTTCGTATTGTCTCTTCAGTGCCTAGACAATAACATGAAAATATATAAGACGACAGGTAAGCTTAGACCGGAACAAGTTAGAACAGAGTAAGGGGCAGGCGTGACACCCCTACTCCCAGGGCAGCCCTAAGCTTACGAACGACTGTTTCTGCACACAAAGTGCGGGTTTGATACGGCTGATCGCAACTGCCTCTGCGAAACATGGGAAACGGGCGTTAGCATGTCTTAACACGAGTGTAAACACTTTGGCCGGATCAAACTGATGACAGGTGGCCAGTAAATGCCTCGATGTAGACCCTCTTTTTAAACACTGTCGAAACCTTTTGTCCCGGCTTTGTTTAAAAAGGAGGTCTACATCGAGGTACCATTTAAGGGTGATTTTGACAATATGAGGACAACGAAGCGCATAACTTCCGCAGTCCAGAGGACTTAGTATGCTTCTGAAATTGGTCTTATCAACCGGACTAATCGAGTACCTGTTACGCCAATGACGGAAAGACAACCTCTTGACCCCAACTCACATTGTATTTATCAATTTACTTGTAGTTGTGGTATACACTACATCGGCCGTACAAATAGATCGTTGAACTCCAGACTAAGGGAACATGTACCTAAATGGTTGCAGCATCATATCACCCGGTCTTCGGTTGCTCATACCACCTGTTCATGTAAGCCACCTGCTTCATCCATAGGTAGGCATTTACTGGCCACCTGTCATCAGTTTGATCCGGCCAAAGTGTTTACACTCGTGTTAAGACATGCTAACGCCCGTTTCCTATGTTTCGCAGAGGCAGTTGCGATCAGCCGTATCAAACCCGCACTTTGTGTGCAGAAACAGTCGTTCGTAAGCTTAGGGCTGCCCTGGGAGTAGGGGTGTCACGCCTGCCCCTTACTCTGTTCTAACTTGTTCCGGTCTAAGCTTACCTGTCGTCTTATATATTTTCATGTTATTGTCTAGGCACTGAAGAGACAATACGAAATATTGACATCTGCCAGTGTTCGTCTTCTTACGGCTTTATTCAAATTACGAAAGGGATGTAATTGTTTCGGATAGATGTGTCTGAATAATTGAGTAAATGAACCGATTGTCATATTACCAGACGAGTGGGATACGTTCGCTTTTGTGGGACGATCATGAAAGCGGAACCGGAGGGCAGGACATTCATCGACGTCCCTTGGAGCAAGTGCGACGACTGCCAGGCGATTGCAGATGCCGACTAATTGCTTTCCACCTCCATATAACAGTCGCTAGAACAACGGATAAAGGACAGCTCGTAGCACGTCGCTACATGATCTTGCTGCAAACTCATGGAGCGCGACATGTGGGACGTCACCAAGCCGCATGTATCTGATGTAGCGCCAGTGCTCCGCTTCCGTTCAGACGAAGAAAGTGACCGGTCACGCCTCGGTGACTTGACCTATGCTGGCCAATGACATGCACCAGTGAGCAGAGCATCATCACCGTATCTAGCACGGCGGGGGTACGTATTAGGGACGATGTGGGGGTGTGACAATCCGAAAGGTGGAAGCTGAGGCACAGACGTGATAGGTCAATTCAAGCGTATAGGGATCGGGTGCTGCCCACCCGAAAACATTGCACACCACTTTTTCACCAGGTGGATGTAGCAGGCCTAGAACCAAGGACTATTAGAATATTAGCTGGAACCTCTACCTCCTTGGCTACCGGGTCACAATGGGTAAAGTCACAAAATGACCCTCTAGTTAAGACAAGCATGCGTTCTAGGTCTAACGAAAGAGTGATTGTTGACCGATTATGGATTCCGCTTCCATCACAAAGTCAGAAGCGAGTAATATGATTTCCAGTCACAACTTCGTCGTTGGACCTCGAAACCTACCCGTAAAATTAATGGGATTGGGTGATGGCCCACCTACATCTGCTGCCCAGAAAGAAAGTTGTCTTAACCTACTAACTTGAGAAACGTGGTCAAACACGTTTGCAAATCTTGGACGCGTGAAGCACAATTCGTCCGATGGACACTATATTAACATTCAGCTAAATCATGCCAGACCGTCCTGCTGATAACAATACGACTTTAACGTGCAATCGCAGTACATTGCCGACGCTGACAGAGACCCTGCTGTTGGTGATTCAGCAATGTATCTCGTTAATTAAAAATCCCTTCAAGGTATTTGTGACCAGCAGATTATTATCCCAAGCAAGACTCCATAGTCCCAATCTGAAAGTTAGGGGTGCTTCCGTCTCGCGTGCTGCAAAACTTTACTAGTGCAAACATACTTAAAAGAAGTAGGCCAAAAGTTGAATGAATGTCATTTCTAAAGTAACAGGTATACACCTTGTCTTTAGCCCCTCATATGAAGTTCACATGAATCCCGTCTAACGGATGAGGGGCTGCTTGTCAGTCAAATAATTGAGTTTTTAGCGGCATGTTATATGAGGTCTGGACTCTCTTGTGAACGATAATTCTAGCAAACTTGTGGCATCCATAGTGATGTTGAGTTGCACACACTTGTGTAAGTCACTCGTCAAATTATTAAGGGCGAAACACTAACTCTCCCATGTTTAGATCCGAGATAAGCTGCTTGTGTGGGTCTCACTGCTGCGGTCCTGAGTGATGAAATAACGGTGTCACGTTCTCATAGCGTTAACCAATGACGGAATTTAACAAAGGTGCAAATTTTCGAGAGGCGGTTTGATAACTAAGGAACATAAAGCCAGAATATGAGAGAAAGGAATGCCATGTTGTAATTCCAGCAGGATGGGTGCCAATGACGGGTGACCAAGCAACAGGCAAAGCGCCTTAGGACACTCACTTGAGATAGCTTCTCATAAAACCTGGTGGTTGCTGAAATTGTGTTGACGACGAAATCGATTCGTCCGCTTTCAGGGGACAGTTCGATTGGTTGCCTCAACCCGACTGCGAGTATTTTTGGCAGCACATCGTTGGCACTCGACATTGACTTTGTCATGTCACCATCTGTGCTTTCAGATTCCATATCGGTTGCCGACTGCAGCGGTAATTTGTTGACTGTCATTTCCATGGCAAAGTCATAGACTGCCACCTGAAAAAGGGGGAAAATGAATGCAGTGAATTGAGCTACGCAAGTGAGCATCGCTATAAAGCGGACACGATTCTGTTAGGTTAACATCCATGGGGGCTGAATAAGTAGCTTTCGGACGATGCTCAGTCTTGAGCTTAGAACAATTCCGCAAGTAAGATATCCATCTTGACATTCCGCAGAAATTGTGCTCGCTTGTTTGTAGCAAAAGCTCACTAGTGATCAGCATTCATTATACAGCACGCCGTGTCTTGTGTCACAAGCTGTGTGCTGGGTCCAGATTCTGATGTAACGGCCTAGCTTCGTAATTGAGTTACAAGGTTTTCATCACCAAGGGGCGTGACATCATTCGTATGTAGCAAAAGGTATCAGCAGTACGCTGGTACACAGTACGGACGCTTCGCTGCCCTCTAACAACCAGGAGTAGCACGTGGGCTGAGAATACCGCGTGGGTCGTCCGGTCCGCACGCAGGCTCTAGCCCGCGCCCTAAGATTACAATGGCAGGCTTGTGATTCTTAAAGCTGTGTGTGTCAGCGGAAATTCTGAATCGTAAATTAACCTACTAGAGGCAGATGTGTGAACTGCCATCGAGAATTTCGAAATTGTTCAGCCTCTTCCGGTTGAAAGGTATAAACGTACATACCTCTGAAGGACGAAAATGTAAGACTCCACCCCAGTTTGTTTTTGGAGAAACAATCACTTGCTCGATGGGCGCACCCCTGACTTCCGATGGATCGGTTTCTGTTGGCCATTGATCCGGTTTGTGAATACTTGTGAGAGAATAGCTATTCAAAGTCGCGTTCGAGTTCACCTGTGACAGATCAGTGACGAAAAACTCTCGTCGTTTATCCAAATGGAATTCAACAAGTGCTTCTGTCGGACCTTGATTCTCTATCCCAAAACACAGCCTTGCTGAAGAGCCCACGTATACGCCTGAAATGGAAACACAGTACTGTATTAACTTCAAACATGGGATAAGATTACTATGGTATATTTGCCATTTGCTGGTTAAGAGACCGCGATTAATACGAGTTGCTCGTGATATGGCTTGGGGATTATTTATATGTTACCACTAACGCATTATTAGGATGACAATCGATAGTGCACCTGTTGCACAATTCCCAGTCCGAATATACGGTAGCACTAAACGTGACCATCAGCTGCGCCTATTCCTTCATTTCGACTTGTATAAAATGCAGCTGTCAATTAATGGAATCACTTCATTATCTGTTTCAGTGTATAGGTAAAATCGAATAGCCAATCCACGCTGAGTATTGAGCTAAACTTGGACATCTGCGGCTTCGTTCGGAGTCTATCTTCGGCTTCTGCTTTATCACCCGGACAGCTCATGTGTGCTTTATGACCGATTGATGCTTCAACACCACCCTATCGTGTACCCACCTCTATACGAAAATCCGGTCATCTTACATACAGATCATAAACTTATTCCAAGCACAACTTGTGCTGAGCATGTGCATAGATGATGATCATCCGTTCGAGTTGCGTTGGGCTTGACCACTTGTCATCGGTTGCTCTCATGGCCTTTTAAAAGTCGCTAAAGAAATAAGAATTGTTGCCTCTGCTACCCGGGTTACCCCTCACTCTGAATGCAAACATTGACATGATGCGAGCACCCACAGATGGATCACGAGTGGCTTCCGCTGCATCAAGCACAACTCTATCCATACATACCATACGCTGGAACTACAACCAAGTAGCATGAGGATGGTCACACGGTTGGCTTGGGGCCGACCCACACTTAGTCATTACGAATATTGTCTAAGGTTAGGTGAATCAGCGAGAGAGTACAGCTTTCCCTGAAGAAAAGGAAACGTTGATGCACTGCGAGACTCTTACAAACAGTTGGTCAGCACTGGGCCAATACCTTTGTTAGAGAGATCACGGATGTCAGTAACACAGACAGCACGTGAAAATCGATCGATTTCCAGTGCGTGTTTGTTTGTCAGCTCGGAACTTCCACCCAACCACATGGCATATGAGCATCGATTGGTTTCGAACAAGTGTGTACTTAAGGCCATTTCCGCACAGTTGGTTGTAAAATCAGTTGTGCAAGTAAACGTTTTCAAGCAGTGTCAAATCTGTCTTCTTACCACTAAGCGGGAGTTATAACAGTCTGGCGAGGGAGATGGTTGATCAAAATGATATCACGCAAAGGTTACAAAATCAGCAATGTCAATTGGATAAACAGCTCTAATTATTTACAGTTCTCGCAAGAAATATTTCAGCAGACAAATCAGAGGTTCCGGAGGGCAAAAGTGATAATCAACTCAAAGTTGTATTGGCCAATGGAATTCAAGAATTCGATTACTACCTTCACATTTTTTAAATTTTTAGCTTGGTAAAGAGATATGAGAATCTTTTTATTGTCGACAGCTCAGCATTGGATGAATCAGTAAAAATACGGCTGTTGATGCAAAAACTAGGATGTGCTTAACACACAAGATATTGCAACTACATTCGGTTTGCAAGAAACCGTGGATAAGCTCACCACAAATTTTTGGAGAGCGGACGTTTATATCTAACGTTCATTATAATTGTTTAAAGCTTACTAGAGCAGAAGAGGAGGACATTGTGACATATGCAAGCAGAGTGAACATGGGATGTGAAAGGTTCCAATATAAAAGACTGTCAGACAATCAATTCAAAGCATTGATTTTTGTATCTGGCTTAACATCGCCTGCAGATTCCGATATCAGAACAAAATTGCTACCAAAACTAGACTCTAGCTGTGACATTCCCTTACACGATTTAACCATGGAATATCTCAGAATGATGAACCTAAAGCGTGATTCATAAATGTTACGGTCCAAAAACTGTTATTCAAACGACTTTTGTTGATAAAATTAACAAATCAAACGTGGAACAAAACAGATTTCCAAAGCAAGAAGGATGGTCTCAATGACCACCAACACCATGCTGGAATTGTGGTGCCTCGCAATTTGCACGCGTGTGTAAATTTCGATTGTGACACATGAGGTCACAAGGAGGGATACTGTGTCTGTTTGTTCAAGCAGCAACAATCAACTCGATTCAGAAGGCAGCCAAATCTGGGGTCCACTACATATAGTCCTCATGAAAAGCATGGCCGAAAATTTCTCACTTTCTTAAGTAACAATTTACCAGTTACCTTACAAATCGACACTGCTTCCGACATAACAATCATTTCATATTCGACTTGGAAAAGCATTAGAGAACCGGAGTATTATGTTACAAAACATTTTGTTCGGAACGCTAACGGCAAGCCACTCTCGTTGTTGGGACAATTAAACTGAGTTCACATTTTGAAACAACAAATGAAGTGGAACATGTTATACTGAAGCAGAAAATGAACCAAAGTTACTAGGCATCGAATGAATAGATGAGTTACAATTATGGGATGTTCTAATCAGTTCAGTCTGTGACTCACAAACTCAGAGCATGCGAAATGTGTCCAACTAATGTCGAAACTGTTGACACAAAAGTGAAAATGACATGTTAACAAACTTGCAGGAAAAGCATGCTGGTGTTTTCAAACCAGAATTTAGATAGTGCACCAAAGTTCGAGCTACTCTGTATGTCGCACCTGAAGCAAAGCCAGTATTCCTTCCTAAAAGGCCAGTACCCTACTCAGCCGTCCCTTTAGTTGATGCAGAACTCAATCGCTTGGAGAAATTGGGCGTGCTAACCAAGGTTAAGTATTCAACCTAGGCTACATGGTGGCAGTTAAGAAGGCCAGTGGCACAGTAGGTATTTGGGGATTTTTCTACTGGACTGAATGATGCACTTCAGACTTACCAGTACCCATTACCAATTCCAGATGATTTGTTTGCGCAGTTAAATGGTGGCAAAATATTTTCAAAAATTGACCTTTCTGATGCTTAGTTACAAATCAAACTTGATGGGGAACCAAGACAGTTTCTCCCCACTAATACTCATAATGGTCTATATCAATACAACAGACTGCCGTTGGGAACTATGTGTGCTCTGGCAATTTTCCAACAATAATGGACACAATGCTAAACGGGTTGCCTTTTGCTATGGCTTGCATGGATGACATAATAATCGTAAGCGCCCCAGTTGAGCTATATCAGGTACACCTAAATGAAGTGTTTGATAGGATCAGGAGTTCCGGCTTTACCCTGTGAATAGACAAATCTGCATTCTTCATGTCTCGAATTTCGTACCTTGCTTCAATCATTGATGCCAGTGGTCGTCGCCCTGATCTGTCAAAAATTATCGCAATCCAACAACTACAAGTTCAGAAGGACAGGTAAACACTCCAGTAGTTTTGGGGACTAGTTAACTCTTACAAAATCTTTGTACCCAATATGCACTCGCTACGGATGCCACTAAATGAACTCCTGAAAAGTAATGCAAAATGGATACGCTTTCAAGCTAGTCAGTCGACATTTGATGAAATTAATCGCATTTTAACTTCGGCTCTTGTACTTACTCATTATGACCCGAAACTACCCATCATAGTTTCTGCAGACGCTTCAAAGTAAGAGATTGGAGCAGTACTCTTGCAACAATTTCCGGATGGCAGACAAAAGCGGTCAATCATGTTTCAGGCACGCTAACAACAACTGAACGGAATTACGGTCAACTTGTAAGAGGAGGTTTAGTAATTGTGTTTGCAGTCAAAAAGTTCATAAACTGTTGCATGATCGGAAATTCACGTTATGCACTGAGCACATGCTCCAGCTGTCTATATTTGATACCAAGAAAGGAATTTCTGTTCATACCGCAAATCGCTTGCAACGTTGGACAACAGTACTTCTTGGATACGATTTTACCACTAAACACATCCGTTCGGAATGCTTTGGCCATGTTGACGCCTTATCGCGTCTGATTGCTAACAGATTACATTCGCAGGCACAGGAAGACAGGGTCATTACATCCGTTGAAGTTGATGCTGACGTGAACTTCATTTTTGAGGAGTCCATACGAAACTTACCAGTTACGCACAATGACATTTGTGGATCTACGCGATCAGATAGCTGTTTACAACGAGTCATCTTTTATCTCCACGACGGTTGGCCAAGAATTCTATCAGATGCGGGAAGTAAAACACATTTTGTGTGTAAAGATGCCTTAACAATAGTGAACGACTGTTTCATGTTGGCAGATGGCACTGTGATCCCTAAAAATTTCAGAGTAATAGTTATTCAAGTGCTGCACGCCGGACACCAGGGAAGTAAACGAATGAACTCACTTGCCAGATGTTTTACTTATTAGTTAACTATTGACAAGGATATTGAGGGCGTTGTCCTTACTTGTTCCAAATACGCACAGGCTGTGAAATCCCCCATCAAAGTTGCCCTTCAACCTTGGCCAAAATCAACTGCCCTGGTATGCGGATTCATGTGGATTATGCAGGCCCACAGAACAATTAATATTTTCTAGTTATTGGTGATTCATACTCAAAATGGCAAGAAATAGTTTGTGTCACTCAACCAACGACAACCTCAACGATGACAGTTTTTCGTCGTTAATTCGCACACTTTGGTTCCCCAGAAACACTCATCACTGATATTCGTCCACAATTCACATCGAACGAGTTCAACCGTCTTTGTCAATCCATTTATCATCCCCAGTCCAATGGACAGGCTGAGACGTTTATTGATACATTCAAAGATGCTCTGTTTAAACTTAATGGAGAGGGAGATATTGCTGCAAACTTGGATATATTCTTACGCATTTATCGTTCAACACCAAATCCTGTGCTTCTAGACCATCAATCACCGTCGGAATATTTTATTGGTTGACGTTTACGCATGCCGTTAGATGATATGTTTCCAGCGAAGCGGACTAATGAGAGGGTTCGGAAAATGGTAGATCAGTCCAATCATAAGCACAGTACTCGCATGAGGTATTTTCATCCCGGGGACCCAGTATTTGTGTACACCTTTGGGAATGCGCACAAATCTTGGATTCCCGGAATTGCCAAAGCAAGAAAAGGAAATGTCCTGTATGAAGTGGGATGTCAAAACCGATAGACTACACGTCATGTGAATCACATCAAATATCGTTACACACCCGAAAAGGTTCAGTAAAATGACACTACAGTGATTCCCTTACACATTCGTTTAGGTACATTTGCTTTGCATAAGCCAATGG